CGGGACAAGTCCCGGTATCCCGATAGGCCAATCCGCCCCTGGACTTGTTTCGCTAAAGTTTCGTCGGAACGAAGTTACGGAAAGTTAATTAACAAACGGAGACGTAACAGTATAATAAACCATAAGAAAAAATAAATAAAATAAAACACATTCAAAATGGTAAGACAAAAATTAGAATAACTTCAGTAAAATTTTCATGTTGTTAGTAATAATATTGACTTGTGAAGTTTGTAATTATTAATTAATTTGTTAGTGTTAGTGAGTGTTACTTAGTATGAGGGTATATGTATCCTGTTATTGTTAAATAAATGTTATGTATGGTAATTTGTTATGGGTGCATAGGTAGTCTTACACTGTTACAGTTAAGACTGACTTGTGTAAGTGTAATGTGTGTATCTCGTGGTTTAATGAACTCCTTGTTATTTACTGTTTTGCCAATTGTGTGTCTGTTACAAAAATGTATAACTCATACTATCATCATATCAATGTGTTTAATTTTAATGCTTATGCTTATTAGTATTGACATTATGTTCTTCAGTAAAAAATATTTCATTACTAGGTCTATGTAATGAATGAATTATAACATAACATTTAAGATCAGCAAGGGGGCCCTTTTGGTCCATCAAAGCTGTTCCATTAACTAATTATAGCCTAATAATACCCTAATTGACAGTAATTTAAATAGCACTGAATAGTATAACCAATGATTGAGTTCAGGATTATGGAAATAATTTTTATTAATCTTTTACATGAAACAGTGAATATTTCATTACTAGGTAACACAATAAGCTATTATTTCATATACAGATCTAGAAAAGGGTATTATATAGTTGTTTTTTCATTTGATTTCAAATTTAAATGAAGATTACTTTTACATTTTTTAGTTATCTTTAAAAATTGTTTTTAGAATTTTAGAAACATATGAATTATAATTAAGGTTACAAGCTTAAATGTTAAGAGTTTCACTTTCAGTTCAGCTTTGCATAGGTTAAGTGTAGCCTGTCATTGTTATATGTTGAATGTATAGTAATTTGTTATGAATATGGGTGCATAGGTAGCCTGACAGTTAATACTAACATGTGTAAGTGTAATGTATGTATTTCGTTGTTTAGTGAACCACCTGTATGTCTGTTACAAATATGTATATAGCTCGTACTGTCATCTGCTGTACCACTAGCAACAGCACAACCAAAACACCAAGGTCCTTTTCAGTCAAGTTATAAATAAACAATTCTTTTTTGTTTTTATTAAATGTAATTATTGTTTAATGATGGTTGATTATTTTATCTTTGAAATAAGTATACTTTTATATGTCTGAATCTTTTAAGGTAGACTGTAAGTTTAAAAATTTTGGGTAAATCCACTTGATTATTTTTTGAAAAAGGATTTGTAACAATTATACCAAGCACCTTTATTTGTATCATATATAAATTTTATTTATTATATAACACACCACTTGAACAAAGAGTATTATTTCTACTGTAATTCTGTTTGAGTATGACATATTCTTCTTGTCCTCTTATCATCATAATACAGTAAAAGAAATCACAGTACTTTATCCTTTTGATCATCCACATTATCTTGTAAACTTGAATAAGATTATCTCTTATCTTTCTTTTAAAAGAAAAAAAGAGCTTATCCATACAAGATAACCCTTCCATCCTCAAAACTATCCTAGTAGCCTTCTGAACCTTTCCAATAAGTCAGCATTTTTTCTTCTATAGGGAGGACAAAACAGTACATGTAATTCCTAATGAGGCCTAACTGGTGAATTGTATAGTGAAATAATTACCTCTTTTCTAATCAATTTTCATAACATAACATTAAAAAAATAAATCTAACCCTAATCAATTAGATATTTATTGAGCCTTTCCTTAAATTTGCCACATCCACCATGTCTGAAAGCAGCCCATTCCAAAAGCCAACTATCCTGTTAGAAAACTAAAACTAAGGCCTATTTAATAACCTACACAATGAAATAATAACCTCTTTAAATGTGTGTATTCAATATTTCTATAAAAACAACCCAAATTATCTGCTTTACCACTAGCAACAGTGCAACCAAAAACCAAGATCCTTTTTGGTGTTGCTGAGGCTATTCCCATCAAAATTATTGTAATTCAAATTATGATAACACACATATGTTACCTTACATTTCTTATGATTAAAAACATCTGCCAGTTATCTAAGTTCTTTTGTAAAGCAGCAGCATTGTTCTCACAATCAACAACACTTAAAATTCTATTAGTTTTCCTCGAACAGCATAGCACTGCTGTGATGATTTGTGTGACTTATTTACCACTATGTTAAGATTTTTTCTTTAGTCACACTATTGTGTGAGTTCCCATTTATATTAAATTATGATAAAGAGATGTATTAGTTCCACATTAATCAACTTGTTACAATTCTGCAACATCTTTTTCCAAAGTGAAATATTAAGTAATATGAAGAATTAGTTTATTTAGTGTAAATAGTCTTGCAAAATTTGTAAGGAGAAACATAAAAACTGCATTAACTTCTATTTCACTTGCTAGTGCCCAATTTTCATACCTTTTTTTCTGTGTTACCACCCTCCTTTGTTACCCCTTGTTCCTTCACCATATTTTTGAGATACTTCATTGTGCTCCTGAAGGGTTTTCTGGAGAGGTTCATTCTCTTTGTTTCACCACTTTAACCCCTAATGCTATTACAACTGCTTTATTCCCTTTGACTTGGTTAATTTGCTGTTGGGACTGGTTGGGTCGGTATGCCCTCTTAACTAATGTTTGCTTGCCTTATTCTTATCTCTATGATCTTTTTGGGCTCATTTTTGTCACCCGGAGGTCTTCACTGATGTTCCTGACATGCTGGAGACTAGGGCAGAGGTATTTTGGCATCAGTTCTTGTTGTCTTTGATTTCTCATCTTTCTCAACCACACCCTTCTGTTTCTAGACCTGCTCAATCCACATCTCCTTCCAATTCCTTCTTCCTGTCTTCTCACTTTACAATGTTAGGGTTGTTTCTCCTCTCCTTGGTAACTATTCTGTCAGGTTTGGATCAGTGGTAACCTGTCTATTTCACTTTACCAGCCTTTGGTCTCCATTTTCAGCAAACAAATGGGTTTTTCAGGTTCTCACTTGTCCATGGCCTATTTCTCCACTTCTCTTCCTCCCATTTCTCCTTTTCTTGATTCCTTTCCTCCTCCCTCTAACCCCATTTATATTCAGCATCTTGAGGATGCAGTCTTGGATCTCTTGGGATATTACTCTAATCTCCTTGTGGCTCCCAAGAAGACCAGGGACTAGCATCTGGTTATTGACCTGTCATTTCTCAACTGGTTTCTAGTTGTTCTGAATGGTTTCTCTGTAGTGGTCCTTTTCACTTGGTTTGTGGATTACCAAGGATGATATATCAGATGCTTTTTTACACATTTTGAGTGCCTCATCCTCCAGACATTTTTTTTTGTTTTGTCCATTGGAATTGAGTTCCAGTTCCGTGCTCTTCACTTTGGCATTGCATTTGCTTCTTATGTTTTCACTCAAGTCATTGGGACGTTCTCCTGCCATATTCACAGATTTGGGCTGAGGTTCCATTATTACATGGGTGATTGGCTTCTTCTTGCCCCTTTTTGGGAGAATTTCTTTTCTTATACCTAAATCCATTTTTGTGCAGGGGCAGCTTGACTGGACTTACTAGTCAAGCATCCCAAGTCTTTTCTCGCACCTCTCTAATACTTGGTATATCTAAGTATGTTCTTCAACTCTCATCTCAGTCAGGCTCAACCATCACCTTTTTTGCCTGTGAGAAATGTAATGTCTTATCACCAAGATTTACACTTCTTTTACACCCTGCATGCAAGGTTCTTTCACATTTAGGGACTCGTGTTTCACTAGAACTGCTCATACTTTTAAGCTGTGCACACATGCATCTTCTCCACTGGACATTGTGAAACTTTTCTCAATATCTGTTGTCCTGTCCTCTTCTTTGTCTTCTTTCTTGTGTTTATGCCTTGATCTGAAACACTCTTTGTTGGACCTGTTGTTGGTGCCTCTTTGGCATGCACAACCCTGATTTCTTCTGCTTTGTCAATTGGCATACAGACCCTTTCTTCCTATGACCCATTCCCTCTCTTACTCAAATCTCGCATCTCTCTTTTTCACCCATGGTTGTTGTCCCTTTATCTTCAAGTGTGAGATTTGTCTGGTCCATTGCCCACGAGGCCAGACTCTTCAACCGTGTAGCCTTCTTATCCCATTTATCTCATCCTTTAACTTTATCTATCAAAGGAAGTGACAACTTTTTAACATTGGTCCATCTGCCACTCCCTTCCTCCAGTCCATGCTAATGTGGCCTACTTTCCAGCCTTTTTTTTACACGGTTGTTCAGTCATGGATTTTCGGTCTCCACCATAGCTGATTATCAGGCAGTTTTGTCAATTACATTTTATCTTTCCTGTTACTGCCAGGTGTTTTCTTTTCCTGTCTTCTCCACTTTTTATCCATCCTTCTTTACTGAACCCTTTGTCTGATTCCTATGCCTGACTGGAATCTTAATGTGGCTATAAACACTCTTCCACTTACTCCATTTGTGCAGTTAGCTTCCTGTTCTATATACCATCTTTCTCTGAAGACATACTTCCTTCTCCTTTAACTTTCTTGTTATGAAAAGTAAATTAAATATTAAATCACCAAATAACTCTAAAACTAAACAGTCTTGTATGTCCAAGAAACACCCTTATCTTTCCTTTAGTCTCTTGTTCCTTGTACCTTCTTTAGCTTAAGTCCTATTTCTTTCTTTTGCCTGTAGATGATGTGACCTGTATGTCTTTACTGCTTTCTGTATTCTTTTCCTTTGTTCTTCTATACTTCATTATCTTTCTCATGCTTTTTTCTTCAAATGGCTATGGCTTTTGAAGGAGACTGTTCACTCCTATTTCCCTTCCTTCCATTTCTCAGTTTTATTCTCATTCTGATCCTATCCATGTGGTTCATTGTTAATGGCCTGCACTGCTCCTTTTAATGGTACATCCATCGCTGAAATGTTCACTAATGAGTTGGGGTATTCCATGAGACTGCTGGAGGTTTCCCAGCTGTGTAAGCTTCTTAAACAAGGCCCATTTCAGACTGTACTTACCCATAGACTTTCATGAGTAAAGTAGTGTTGGGATTACTGCTCATCCCTCCAGTCCTGTTGAATATACCTGGACTGGCCTGCTTTTAAAAATAGGGTCTTGTGGTCATCCATTGCAAAGTCTTAAGGTTTGGTGTTCTCCTGGGTTCCCCAACATGTTTTCTCTCCCCTCTTCTAGTGGAATACAGGAGTCCTTGCTACTCACTAAGTCCTAGCTTCTGGGGTAGTGGCCCATGGAGGCTTTCTCTTGAATGTGTCCAATTCCAAGAGTAGGGTGGTGGTGTTCTGTTGGTGTAGATGGTGTGAATGTTTCTCCTACCACAGAATGGACAAAAATTCATGATGCTGACTAGTTTCAGACTAGAAATGACCCACCAAATACAGTTGGCCCCTCTGGCTGGCTTTTCCCCATTCTACCACTGCCTGGATGCTGATTCCTGGGCAAGTCTGGTGTTGGATTGGCACTGGACAATGTTGGGACCCTCCTCTTACTGAGGATCAGATACAAACTTCTGGATGCCACCTGGGTTGGGACTGAGGTTGAACCACCATATTTCCTTATCCCCATTCTACTGTTATCCCAGTGTTGGGTTCCTGGGTGGCCTGGTGCTGGATGTGTTGAGGGTCTACATACATGAGCACTGCTTAGGATGGTGGAATGGAACTTACATTTCCCTTCTCCATTATGGTATGGAGGTGAAGATGGTTGGGATTCTCCTCCTACGACAGAATGGATGAAATGTACCAAGTGTTGCTTCATTTTGGACTATGGTTGACCTACCACATATGGTCTAATATGCCCTAGCCACTTTACACCATAAAACATGGCCATTTTCTGTATGGTGTTTTTGGACTTGCTTCTTTTCAACCAGACTTGGCAGCTTATGTCTTCAGTACGAGCAAAGAATATACCTTGCAAAAGAAGGGGTGCTGTATCCCTTGTACTTTCATGGTATAAGATATCATGCTCTATATGATCTTTTTGGGCAATTTCTGAAGAGTACTCATCTAGGTAACTTTTTTACTGGCCCTCAACCACTTCAACATGGGATTTTAACTATTATATGAACGGAGGTATGGTATTGTATTGGAAGTTATAATTTTCCAACAATGAAGTTTAATTGAAGTTTAGTGAGTTTAGGTGGGAGCCTCAAGACTAGTGGCGAGCAAATAATTCTGCATATAGAGAACAGCATAAAATCGAGGAAAGCTGTTCAGTTTTGGAAAATGTTAACCTTTGTAGGTGATTGCAATTTGCATACAAGCGTTGGCATATACAGGCAGTGTTTTTGTTTACCTTTAAATCAAAGATAATATTATAGTATACTGTCTGTAGAATGTTGGTAGTTGATGATACAGTCTGTAAGTCTAATGACAAACAGTGAAGGGATATCATTATAAAGTTGAGTAAGGAGTACAAAAACAAGATAAGATATATACATACCTAGAGCAATTTGGTGTGTTTTTGAATTCATTTGATGAGTGAGATTGTTTTTTGTTATGAATTCAGTTCAGTATGTATACTTGTCTCTTCCTAAAGTGTTTTTGAAGAAGAAAATCCAGTTTTCTGAATGTTGACAACTAAACTCAGTTGCTGGCTAAACTGAGACTTGTTTACAATTGAAAATGAAACAAAAACTGAATTATGATGATCAGTATGACAGCCCTTATGGTATTGTGTCATGCAAAAAGTCAAAGTAGTTCATCAAATGCAAGTTAGGTCAATGTCAGATTTGTTAAAGCTCTTCTTGCTGTTCTGAATTTGCTAATAATAAATAACCAGTTTTGTAATTTGAAGTTTAATTTAACATATTCATTGTCTTAGTTTCTCAGCTACAAATATCGGATGTACATATAATACAACAGTATAGCTTAAACATATTGTATTACTGTGTGGGTAATATGGCTACTCTAGGCCAATTAAAATTAATGTACCAGAGTTGTAGCAACCAACAGGGTTACATGAAGTTATCTGTGAAATTGTCCTGTATAAACAAATAACAGCTGATTTTGTGAACAGTGAGCATGTTGACAGACTTGATGGAGGGCTCTAGTAAACCCTTGTAAAATCCTTTGTATTGGTGCTTACGAGCACCAGTGCAATGGCACATGTCAAATGTGAAGGCCTGGATAAGTCACTTGAGCCATCAAAGTAGTGCTCTGTTGCTAATAGTAAAACTAATAGAATTTTAGGGTTTATTTATAGAAATATTGATTACATATGGAAAGAGGTAATTACCATTATACAATTCACTAGTTAGATCTCACATGGATTACTGTGTACAGATTTCACCTTTTTTTAACTAAGAAAGGATTAGAGCTAAGTGATTAGTGGAATAACTAATTGATTGTTGGGCTCATTATTATTTCATTGATCTTATTGATTATTCTTGCATGAGACTTGAATAGTTGGAATAATCAAAAATAGTAAGAATTGGTAACATTAATTTTGATTAATCGTATTTTATGTGGCAGTTATTAACCTTGTAGCCTAGGTAATCAATTAATTGAGTTAATTGTACAGCTTTAGAAGGATATTGACTTACTGGAAAAAGTTCAGAGGAAGGCTACTAAGATTATTCTGGGATGGAAGGGCTATTTTACAGGGACAGGTAAGATCTCTTAACTTATTTTCTCTTGAGAAAAGAAGGGTAAGAGATGATAGTGAATTCTTCAAGATTGTTCAGGAAATAGATAGTAGAAAATCCTCTGATTACTCTGTAGTATGTTCTGAATGAAAAGACAATTTTAAAATTTGGAAAAGACAGACTAGCCTTCACTTAAGACAGTTTTATTGTCTAATAAGTTGATTCATTTATAGAAGGATTTATGGTCAAAAGTAGTGGAGACCAGCATTTTACAGAAGGGAATGAATTATTTCCTGAAAAATAGAGGTTGGGTTTAAATCATTACTTTGGAAATGGATCTCTCTTTGAAAGATTTTTATGATAACTTTGAATTAAGCCAGAAATGGTAAAATTGAAGGAATATAAGGCACGTGACCCAAGTAATGTATATCTTAGGATAATGATGAAAATAAAAGAGCAGATTTATGGATCACTAGCTTTAATTTCTAATGAACATAGTAAAAGTGATAAAATGCTGGAAGATTATAGCTGAACCAATATCACAGAAATATGTAAGGGAGTGGGGATATAGTGTTAAAGTAATTTTTGAAGCCTCAGAAATTTTGTGACATAACTGAAAAAAAATTGCTTATTCTGACTTTTTTTACTTATTTAACACTTTTCATTTTATCAGTTGAAGCTGATGAAATCAAGAGGCTTGGAAAAAGATTTAAAAACTGGACTTGGACAATCCTGGTTCTTTAAGTGTGGATTAGTTCATGTCCTTACCAGAACTTCAGCAGAACCCTTTAGTACAGAGAGTCATAGAAATATTTGATACTGATGGGAATGGAGAAGTTGACTTTAAAGTTGAGTGTTAAGTGGTTACTATAAAATGCAGTGTATCAAAATGTATAAGATAAAAGCCTTAATATGCTTCTGAATATGTTCCACTGTTACAACTGTAAAACACAATCCTACTATTTATTACCCCCGTTTCTGGACCATGGTGAGGTGTGTCTGTCACCAATATCCCTTAGTTTTTTTCCCTTTTCACAGTGGAAATATTTAACTGTATGAAACATAGTCAAAACTTACTAAACTTTACTTAGTTTTTGTTTTAGAAAAATGTAATTTGATTTAGTTTGGCATAAAAATGTAGCTAATAATCCACATTTTAAGAGTATATGTTTTAAGTTCTTGATTTTATAAGGCAATATTAAAAAAATTGTGACATTTTCTCTCCAGGCATCTCCTCTTCTCTTATTTATTTATCACCCCTCCAAGAAGTACGAAATTAAATGTACATTAATCATTATAATGTTGTTATTGCTCAGGCAAAGCATAATTTTTATAGCATTCAATCTTATTTAATTACAGAGCCATAAAATAGAAAATCAGACCCATCTTGCCACATCCACTTGTCACATCCCCTCTTTCAGAAATTGGCTATAGTTCTCTCTGATGTTTAATACTATATTATATATAACTAGTAGAAAGCAAAGGTTTTAATCTATAAAATGATATATTATGCTTCCAGTTCAAACTTTATTCCTAAAGGAAACACATTGATGAACTTAGCTGAAGTTTTAATGGCTCTTGTCTCATAGTTAGAAATCCAGACTAATTGTGATAGTTGTAGGACATTGTCTGCTTTTTGCGTGTGATTATTCTGTGTTATTTGGTGCATTATCTAATTAAATAAAAAGTTATTTAGTGCAGTATTAACATTAGTGTAAAAAAGTAGGGTTAAGTGTCATTGATAGTTGATAGCAAAAAAAAAAAATAGAACACCCCAGGTAAGTACTTTATTTCTTGTTTTTCAAGTGTATTATTTATTTATTATTATAAAAGTAACCAAAATGTAAAAATTAGAAACTTTTTTTGGTTAAATAAGGTTATCTTGGGTGAAATAAATAATGATAATAATAAAAAAATTCACAAGGTACACTTGCAAGCAACTCCCGAGTAGCCTGTGCATTATGTAATTCAATAGGGTAATGTAAGCTCCACATTTGTCAAGTGATTTACAAATTTTATTGCAGAATTATCAGTTAAGACAATTTCAAAGAGCAATAAAACAATAAAATTTAAGTATAAACAGTTGTATACTGTTATGAGTTTAAAGCTATTTAGGATAAATAAATGCAGTTTAATTTTACAATTTGAAATCATTCTAGAAAGACAGAAATGGTAATTTATATTTATTTTGGTGGTTACAAGGTAGGTCAAATTGACCATCCTAGTATAGAGTTATGTTTAGAAAATAACAGATAAAATATGAAGTTTTACTGAAATAAAACGTTTGAAATTTATTTAGGAGGTTTTAGAGATTTTTCAGATGAAGAAAAGTATTTTAATCTGATATAAAAATAATTTTGTACTAGGAGCAGTCAACACTTTGACTCCGTATATTCACGGAGAAAGTTTTAGTGAAAATACTTTAATAGAAACTCTGATTTTTTGTTTACAAATGACTTGTGATGATTACTGAAACTTTTGTGAAGGTACAGAAAACATATTAGAAGTTACAGTATGGAAACTATAAAGGTCAATTTGAGGTCACAAAGTTGGCAAATTGACAAAGCCCGTAGCGAGATAGTTAAAAACTTTTCATCTTAGAATTTCTTTTATTTTTATTGTTGATCAGAAAATTCCATTTTATATCCATTCAATTTCAAACTTTTGAAACTTTTATATTATTATTATTTCTTTTGCTGGTTAAAAGACCAGAGAGACCTAAGTCCTGTCCTTTTAAAATACTGTCAGTAACATGATTTTTGCTACAATATTCATGGTTTAAATCAGTTTATATGTAATAAAATAACTTGTTTTCAATAAATTTAAATGTGAATTTATTTATATTCATTTTAATTATGATG